GAAAGACTAGGGTCAAGCTTGTTACCTAATAAATTACTGAGAAATCAAAATGCATGTATGTAAACTGCAGGGGGAAATTAAAGAAAATTAGGGCACACAAACACCCCATTTAGTCAGACTTCACCTCTGACATTTCTAAATAAGTGCCTCAAATTTCATATCAAATATATTTTTTTGCTCTTAATAAACACTAAGCCTGTGTTGTGATTGTCAATGTTGTCAATTTCTATCTTTATAAGCCTCTGCTTCTACAGTGTGAAAATGACACAAGTCAAATTTAAAGCCATTATTCTGCTTTTGCTTCACTTTTCCTTTCGGTATTAAAAACACATAACTTTTGCATAAGCTGTTGCTTTTGGAGGGTTAAAGCAAGTGTTGAACTTCACATATAAATACAGTCAGACTTATGAACTGTGTACTCAGCCATCTTTTAGAGTGTGAATGGACAAAGGGTCCGTTTATCCAGGGAGACTTCCTAATATTTGAGAATGAATGTTGATTTCTGTGAATTGCTCATTTCTGAAGGCAGCATACACTTTCCACTCGTGAACTGGCTGTAACAGCAGATTGAACTGTTGTGTGGCTACAAATGAACTACAAAACAAATGCTAACTACCTGTACTCTCTAAAACAATATAAAGTACATGTTATTGTGCCTCATACAGAAACAGTAAAACTTGTAGCACAACTAACTATATAACTATTTTGCAGGAACATTTGTGATCAAGTTGTCTCATAATGCTTTTGTCGTGTAATGTTCTTCTTAGCTTCTTTTATTTGGTAGCATCACCATCCATGATGGAGTCAACGGTGAAGTTTGGCGTCTCGTTGCTGGCCTCGCACTCAGCGTTGATGTCAGAGTTGACCAGGCAGCTGATGGACCTGCAGGTCATGGTGGAGTCGTGACCAGTAGCAATACCTCCAGGAGGGAATACTGCAGAGACGAGAAACACAGTCGATACACTTCAGTTCTAAGTGTGCTGAGAACTGTCGAAAGGGTGCCTTTCCCAATCTGCTTTCAGGTTTTGACAAAAAAACATGGCGTGTGTGGTAGGGTTGCATGATTAATCGTAACGAAATCACAATCTTGATTCATACATACATGGGATCTCATTTCTACATGATCTTTGATTCACTTTGCATTCAGAACAAGCTGCATTCATGTCATTGTATCCCCCACATAGACAATAATCAGCCTGCCGCCCAGGTATATCTATGGCTGTCCAAGAAGCCTATATTTCCAACCTTTCTTTATCAGCTTCGCTGCCGTGGCGGGCCAGAAAAAGTCTGAACATGTATCTGGTGGAATTCAGCTGTTACTATAGTAACCACAAATTGGATATGCAGTGCAAATGTAGACAATGAGGAAGGAGGCAGATGCTTTATGGGGTGGAGTTGGAGCCGCAGTTTTCACTTAAAAGTTGAAAAAATAAGAATCGTGAGAGAATCGTGATCTCAGTTCTCAGGGAGAAAAATTATCCTGATTCACATTTTAGCGAGGATCATGCAGCTCAGTGTGTGGCCATACGATTCTGTACAGAAATGTATGGACACTATAAATACTTGCAAAATACTACTTTATTTCTTAATGTTAAATCATTTAACATCAAATGTTTTCATTCAAACTAGGGTTCAGAGAATAGATATTGCATCATCCAAGACTGAAAGTATTTTGCATTCACACTGACAAGTACTACTACTGGTCTGCTCTCTTGTATTCCTCTTTGAGGGGTGCATACTATTGCTAACATCAAATGTTGGTCATGAATGAGCACATATTTCTTAAGTTCTGATGTTGTTACATCTGGTCCCCCAACAAAGTATGTTTACTCTTGCTAAAAGAAGAAAGGCTTCAGATATTTCCCCCTCTCTCCTCTCTTTCAGATACTGAGCAACAAATCTTTTTCTTGGATACTCCTCAAAGTCATTAATATGATAAAGTCCTATTGGCTCGTGTGTACAGAGCAGCAGCACACATAAAATTAGAAAATGTCTTCGTACAGTGAGGCCAGTAAATAAAAAGGAGAATAGAATTACTTCAGTGAGACAGACAAAACAGCAGTGGTATCATCAGCACTGCAGAGCAAACAGTCTTCTGTGATAGTGCTGAATTCGCAGATATATAAATATTCTTGTACAGCTAAAATATCTCCACAAAGCTCTGGATTTATGGCAAATTGAATCAGTCAGCAAGACGTGAAGACGCCACACACTAAACAAAACCATCAGATATTTTACTGTTAACATTAGAGCAAGTGCACCCGTCCATTTTAACACTTGTCTACAGATTCTGCACTGTGACTGCACACACATAATGACACCAATACTGCTGTGAGGCCAGCAGAAATGTGTAGTCGTTTACAATGACGGCAATCAAAGCTAAAGGCGAACTATGATAGAAAACAAAGTTGAAGCCATGACACTAGACAACCCTTTAAATATGGACATTCCTGCTCTTTAATGTGTATGTCTCATAACCACATGTTATTCCAGAGTATCATTTTGTCCATATAAGTCAGCTGTGATATTTCATCATGAGCACATGACTCCTTGAGATATGGCCAAAAGTGTTTGTGAGGTCCAACTGACTTTAAACCATCAAATTCTCACGACTGAATCTCTGAGTGTAAGTGTAATAGAGCTGTGGTATTGAACAGTTTTATTAATACATTCTTGTTAACATTTAAAAGTTATTTGTACAGTTTGAAATGGGCTCAATGTCGCTAAAACAAAACTAAATATTATACTAAATAAACTAGTTTTTTCCCTTTTTCAGCAAACATGATACAAATAAAAACTTTTTTCAGCTTCTCAAAATTAAATGTGTTCATTTTCTGTTTCATTTTGATGTAATTTAAATCCGTTAATTTCTGGACAACAAAATTGACATTTAAAGATTTGTCATTTTTTCTATTTTCTTTTTTTAATCTTGTAAAGATCAAATTGTTCACAAATCAATCGGAAAACTATTTTTAATCAATCTCTACATGTTAGCATAATCATTCAGATGATTAAATAAATTAACCCTAGAAAACAATAAAACATATTCAATATATTTAATTAGAGACACAATCTTACTAACTTTAATGTAGTCATTTTATTATTATTTTAAGATATTTGATTATCATCACTTTCAGATAATATCCAAAATTGTTTCAATGTTTTTAGTTTAGCTTTAAAGTTCTTATCTATTAGCAGTTTATATTTGTGATTGTACATTTTATAGAGAATAACTTTATCAGGATCAAAACAACATCAACCAAAGCTGATGTCCATGTTTTCCCCCAAATCCTCTGATGCCTTGATTGGCCTCATCCCTCGCCCTCTCTCTCTCCTCCTCAGCAGTGGTGGGAGGGAGAAAAGGAGGAGCAATTTTTCCCCTCATTAACTTCCTGATTGGTTTTGGACTCCACTTTTTGCTCGTCTGCAGTTTGTCACCAATTCCAAACTGGCAGCCCAATCATTAATACTAATGTTTGTGTAGCTAAGTGCACCATACTCTTTTCTTTTTTTTTTATCCCTCAGTGGTCTACTTGTACAGCAATAACATTATGTGGGTGGGGGGAAAGCAGCTGTGAATTAGCCTGTTCATTGTTAATTCTCGGCCTGTTCATCAGCAGGAAATCTATGATGTAATTAAAGGCTGAGAGCAACTGGACGTGTTAGTTTCACTGGAGATGTTAAATCATGACGCGCTGCTGTACACATGTTCTCTGCTGCGTCCGACCGTCCTCTGCTCTCCTGTTTAATACAGATTAATGTTGCTGAAACACCACAGAGCCTTATTATCAATTAGCCTCAGATCACCTGGAAATGACAAAACTCATGCAGATAATTACAAGTTAACATGAACAATTAGCCAATTCTTGGTTCCGAGTTACATACTCTGTATTTTATCTTCTACAGTGGTTATTTCTGTGTTAATGTCAGCAAAACTGTAAAGAGTTCTCTGACCCTGAAAATGGCCTTTTCAGTCCAACAGTCCAAACACATTTAATGTATAATCATTTAATTTTAATTTGTGCTTATCTTGTTAACTTCCTGTGTCCTTCATTGTTATTTTCACTTATTCCACCTCCTTTCTGTTTTCTATTAAATATTCAGTGTAGTTATTCGTGACGTTTTTCAGTTTTTCCTTTTGTTTGAAGTCCAACCAGGAACTTGAGAAGCCAATTTCTGTTGAGAAACAATGTCAAAGAGTGGGTTGTTAGTTGCTCTTGCATGCATATATCTGTTTTCTTTCTGAAAGCTAAATTGAAGGCCATCACAATGGGATATCTTAGTTAAGCTGTGAAGCATACATTTATAGATACTGTATGTTGCTGTTATAACTGCACTCTCTATATCTCTTGGTGTAAACCATGAAAATACGAGCTCTTATGTGAGACCTAGTCTATTTAAGGTTCAGGCTGTGGGAATATAAAGTTTGCAACAAGGGCGACTTTACCTGTATGCGATTTTGAAAGAGAGTTTATTCTCCTGAATGAACTTTTGCCCTTTTCCCAGTCACTCAGCACTCTATATAAGATTTCAAACTATTAAACAGTCTTTGTGTGGACTAACAAAAGGAAGCTTTTTTAACCTCCTACTTGTCCCGCTGAAGGAGAGGAGGGAGGGAGCGAATGGAGGTGCAATCATTTCTGCTGCTGCCAAACAGGAGAACAAAAGCCCAGATGTTAGAGGAGATGGTAATTCAGTCTGATCCAGTGAGGATAAGCTTTCTCTGTGGGTTTCATACTCTGCACTTATCCACCATACACAAGAGTCATAGGGGTAGATAACACTTAAGTAAACACACACAGCTCTGCATTAAACTGCAGGGACGTGAGTGAGTTCCTGAAGTCTGGAAGTACAGTAAAACAAACTAAACTGCAAATATATGAATGTAACAGTAAATTATTAGGGAAGAAACAATTCAATCAATGTTGTTTATATTTGGGCTTTTTAGTGTACGTAATATCAATGACAAATAAGGTTACAAGATCATATAAGAAGAATACATTTATGAATATGTCACCATTATGTCAAATCATTTTTACTCAGTAAAACATGGATTTTTTTAAACATTGTATGTGTTTATTATTTTGTTGTCTTATTTGTTTTTTATTAATCAAATGTTCTGTTTCACAAAGACATTGAAATGATTAGTTCTACTATCACTAATTTACGCTGATATAATATATCAAGAGTAATGCAGTGCCCGAGTCAAATCCCTGTACAGTATGTGCCCACATACTTGGCCAATAAAATATATTCTGATTCTAAATTATGGGTTCATCTCCCCTACGTTTACGTTCATTGTTTCAGCATGGACACTGAGGACTTTTTGCAGAGATGTATAGGGATGAGGGCTCATGAGCTGGGCTTAGATTGTTGCTACAAATCACTACAAATATTGATGCTCCCTCCAACAACAACTAAAATGTATTGGACAGTAAGTTCCAGTTTTATGGTGAAAGTTTGACGAAGGCCCCTTTCTCGTTTCAACATGATCATAATGAACACATCATCTCTTCTTTGACAAATGCAATGAACTAGCTCAAGAGAAAATAAAACACTTTTAAACACTTAAGGAGGTTTTAAAGGATTTTACCGTTTTCATACAGCTTTCTTTTTTTTTATTAAAGACACTTATTACAATAAGAAGAACATTTTGACTTTCGACTGTGTCTCATGGTCTTCCTCACCCAAAATAATTTCATTGTGGCAATAATCAATGCCCAAAAGAAGTTACCAGAAAACAATATGCCGTCTAAATTTGTCAGTGCTGCCCGGGGACAAGAGAACTTAGTGGAGGCCATCATCAAGGGAACAAAAATTCAATCTTCAGGATGTTGAGGTGCCTGTCACATGACAAGGTTGGCCTGGGATTAAATGGCCGCTATTAAAATGATACGAGCTGTGTCTAAAAAAATCGTCCCTGGACAGTTTGAG